CCACAAGGGGTGACTGAAGCTATCTACTTTCACTTTGCCTAAACTGTCCTAGAAATTTGGTGGATTTGCATAGCACAAGTGGCTTGTTTTCTCAACGAATTTGAGAATGTTCAGCAATTTACATAATGTAGGCCATCTGTTTTCTCATTGAGTAGACGTCTTTTCTCTTAATTTGATGCGAAACGATGGAAATTCGACAAACATATGTTATTTCACAGATTCACAGGAAATACGCAGAATGCTACTCTTGCATTGTCTCAAACATTAGTACGCGTTTTAGCCTTAATTATTGAATATAGTATATTTGTTTGTCTGCACTGTTTTGTTGATATGCTTTTGAAACGAAACGATATTTTGTGTGTATTTTTACAGTTATAAAAATATACAAATTTTAAAAACATTATCATAACAATATACAATATTTTCTCATAAACAGCATCATATCTATAAAACAAGCAGAATAAAATTATATTATATGATAACTTCCAGTAACTTAGTCATTAATATAGTATTCTATACTGTAAAGATTAAAATAGATTGAGCCTTTGCCTAAATACAATTATAGAGCGACTATTAAAATCAGAATTTTTCAAAAGAAGTGATTCCAGAAGTGAAGTCAATAAATTTTTCAACTTCAGCTTGTTTGTTTGTTTATTTGATAAGCACAAAGCTACACAAAGAGCCATCTGTGGTTTGCCCACTGCGGGTGTCAAAATCAGATTTTTAGCGTTATAAGTCCTTAGCCTTACGGTTGCGCCACTAGGGAGTCAAGACTCCAGTTCTACTGATTTTGATAAGTTATTCTGTCAGTCATTCACAAGAAACTTTAAGTAGATTAATTAATTAATATAATTTAACTCTAAATTCGATGTTCACGAGATCACATGAACAGGTCCTTAATTTGATTGACTTTTTTCTTTTAAAAACTGGATTGAAATCCTGAAAGTATAAATTCATACGCAATAAAATATGTCTAATTACGTTCTGGGATTGTTGGGTGCGATTAGCAGTAGCATTTGTTTTACATTTTGAATGAAAAGATAAAAAAAACAGTTTTAAAGTTTCTTAAATGGTTGTTCTTGCATCCACATAAAAATATGTGACTCACAGTCCGTTGACTATCAGTCACCATTTTGAAGGACCAGTGTTAACCACTTAACAACAGGAATTTATATGTATCACTTTACCCTCGTGACTTGTCAAGTCAGCGAAGTAATAAGCAAAATTATAATTAAATGTATTCACTGCGGCGTCACTGCACGTGGACTGGTGGGTTAGCGTTTGAACATTACCGATTTAAGATTATGTTCCTTTGACTACATATCCCACTCCATATTATTTGCTCTGACAATTTTCGCACATTATTTGTTCTTACAATGTTCACCTGGACTGTATGACTGAAAGTTTATAACGCTGAAGTTCAAGGTTCGATCCCTGAGGTTGGCATAGCACTGATAGCCAGCCCATCATGTAGCTTTACGACTAACAACAAAGAAACAAATTAGAACTATTTCGACTATACTCATACACTATCTGTTCTAATAAGCTTACACACTATGTGTTTTGACTAATGTAAAAATTTAGAAATAATTAGCATTTTCTAAAAAAAAAAGGATTTTTGTCTGGGAACTGCACGGAAAAAGTGTTCAGTTTGTTTGTATTTTTAAGTTAAGCACAAAGTTAAACAATGGGTTATCTGTACTCTGCCCACCACGTGTATCGAAACGCGGTTTCTAGCGTATTAAGTCCATTAAGGGGGGGGGGTATTCGGATTACGCTCTTTAGTCATACATAACTCATTGCATCAAATTATTCAACAAATACAGCTAAAAATGTTCATAAATTTCACTTTTGCTGATATAAACTGTAATGTTTTTGTATATTAAAAGTGGTACCGTTTATTGAAAAAGTGATAGTTTTTTAAAAAGAATTCCAGTTTCTCAGTACTACATTTAAAAAGTACATAAATAAAGATATAATCCAATCCTCACATACAGTCCTAGTTAAAGTTATGTTCCTGTTGTGAGGAGAGTGTTTTTATTTAAAATTGTGTTCTATTATAAAGAAATGGTTGTTGTAAATACCACAGTTATTTTTCTAATTGTCTGAATCTTGAATACCCAAAGTGTGATTTTTTTTATGGTTTTTTGTGTGTGGTGGCATTCAATATATTGCACCGGAGTTTTGGTTACATACATAGGTACTGACATACAAGTTACGTACATTATACTGAGATAAGTCCTTAAAAATTACACTTTTGTCAAATATCGAAATAAATATTATTTTCAGTAAATGACTGAATATCGATCCAGGTTCAAGAACTTCGAATCATCGAACTCTAGCATACGTTAGTATAGGCCTCAAACATTTTATAAGTTCTTCATTAAAATTTTATTCTTTTGAGTAAGTGATGTATATGTTAGATGAAACTTTTTAAAAGTTTTGTTTGAACCAATAAATCGGCATGTTCAAATTTAACCTAATTTTAATAAATGAATTAGTTACATAACACATACAGCGAGTTCTCCTTATATTAAATAGAATAGTAAGTCCCATGCACTTGGTGTTACGTCGCAGCTGTAAGTTTATTCTACAAAGGTTTATTTTATTTTAAAATAGACTTGTTCACCTGTTTTATCAACTTGCACCACTATACAACAGTGTGTTGTCTGTCAGTCTGTCAGTAGACACTAAAATGACGTCACATAAATAACGCTTAACGTTGCAATTTGCACTGTCGTTACGGGCGCCTACCGTGAATCACGAGTATAATTATGCTTTCCGTAGGCTAGGGATTGACCGTCACTTATAACGCCCCCACGGCTGAAAGGGTTTGGTGGGACGGGGATTCGAACCCGCGACCCTCAGATTACGAGTCGAGCGCCCTAACCACCTGGCCATGCCAGGCACTTTCTTGAATTTAGGTGATTCTAATACTAGATGTGTTTTGTTTCAAGAGTAAATAAAACCAAAATTAAGAGTAACAAAGATTTTTATTTCTTGCTTTCGAAGTTCATATGTCATGCTGTGTTGACTATTCGCTGGTCGGTGGTGATGACTAGTTACCTTCCATCTAGTCTTACACAAAGATTCACTTAAATGAAGGGCATTTTTAATATTGTGATTAATTTAAGATACCATAGAAAAATACTGACTGAGATTTAAATTTGCATTGTTCATTGTGTTATCTTGGATCTGTAGTACAGTAATGTGTTTTATGTTTAGATAATAGAAGCTTAGATAATATTCTTTAAGCTATTCAATTTGTGCTTAATTTTTTTAAAGTTTTAGCAATTATATAGTGAAGTAAAATACTATATCTTAACTGCGATAGAATTAAACTCAACCGCTAATTATTTACCTTGTCTGCTTATTGAAATTTATTGCAATTATTTTTTTGAATAACTCCTCAATTTAGGGTCCAGAATGCGTTTAAAATTGTCTTTGTTGGCGTTAGTTAGAAAATAGAACCATTTTAATTGGTTAAGTAATCTGTTTGTTTGTGCAATATATATTGTTGCATGTTATACTTTAGAATTTTCTACTAAAGTCTTTTTTTGCCAATCACAGGTTGAGGTCACAGTAAGTTGCGCATATTTCAAAGATAGCTTTTAGTTGAAATGGAGGAGCGGTTTGTTTCAACAACGCTGGATGAGCAATAACTATGAATTGTTTCTTGTTCACGCAGTTTCGAGTTATGTTCCAATGTTCTAGTCTAGAAACTAACATAATAAGTTGTACATGACGTTTATTTTTTGTTGTTTATTTAAAGAGTTTGCATGTATTTCATTTAGTCGATTTTAAACAGTTCCGACTTGAAACTTTTACAACTCTAAGTAACACCAAAGTTCAACATCATTATCAATACTCTGCGTACAAGACTACACTTGAAACATTAATACTGTAGAATGTCTCAAAAATAGTGAGAATTATAATCTAGGCGGTCAGTTTATCTCAGCTTGAACTCTATATGTGTTAACATTAACGAATTCCCGGCCATAAATATTCCCATGTATTTCACTTCAAAAATAATTTTAACTAACTTTTAATGGAAATACATTTTAAAGAAACCCGTCATGAAAATAAAGTCGCATAATATTTAAACACAAACCTAACTTATAAAACGTTCTACCATATAATAAAGTATTTAGCTATGAATTATACATAGGAGGACAGTGATGGTACAAAATTGTTTATTTAAACTTTATAACAATAATTTATACTACTTACTTACCTTTTTGTTTTGTAAAATTACTTTAGTAAGGAATTTAAAAACAATCTTCAAGCCCTGATTTTATCCCCGAACTTTTAGCATCGTGTTCGTTGGAAGTTATTGGAATGTTCGAGGTTGTAGAACTAACAGTATCCAGTGAATAACCACATCGTGCCAAAACATCTTTCGTTTTCGCTTTAAAACACTTTTAAATTCTTATGTAATTATATTTGTGTGGTTTATTGCCTGAGCTAATTCGTGTTATTAATCAGTTTAACTAATCGTCTACTCAGAGTAATTACAGTAGATGCTAGCATGTTTGGTAAAATCATGTCTTTATATATTTTATAAAGGTATATATATTATAAAAGTAATGATGTTTAGTAGCTGTATGTGCATAAACGTGGAATTTTCATATGCTAAAATGTGTGCTTTCTTAAAACAAAACCGTAAAGACAGAAATGCAAAGAGACATTTAAAAGTAAAATTTAACGAGATTGTTTCGTGTTTCTATCTAGTAATTTATTAATTAATACGCGCTCTCATTAAATAAAAAAAACACATTTATATATAATGTAAATTTTGTACAAGTTTTGCATCATTAATTAATTCTTATTCATTATGGCGGCACAATCACGAGTCATTTCATTTGAAGGATTTTATCTTTTATCATTTCTTAGTCTCTTGATAACGTTGCCTTAAGTTCCCTCTGATCTTCCTTATTAAAGAAAGCACGAAAAATGCAGTGTTGGAGATACAAAAATATTAGATACGTGGAGCTACTTACTAATATATAACCTTCTAAGAAAAAGAGACATTGGTGTGAAAAACTCCTACTTAAACACCTGGACTATTTAAATCAGCTTGGCTAACAGAGCGTAGTAATTACATACGCACTTCAGTTCCACATCCATGTAGAAAGACAGCTATCCATGTGTTGTATGATGTCTAGGTTGTTGGAAAATGTTGAATGACATCAGCAGGTGACTAGGATCTCACAGGTTTCCAAGAAATATCTACATATTTGTCCGACCGTCTGTCTGTATGTCTATATTACTTAGCTATAATTTCAATAAATGATCCCATCAGAATCGTTACTAATTCAGCCTGCAAAAGATGAGGAAACTGTCTTAATTATTGCTTAATGTTATTTAATACAAAATACCAATCCGTTGAATTACAAAGAAAAGAAAACGGCGAAAAGAAAAATTTTTTCTTCTTAATATAGAGGATTATCTTTCGAAAAAGCCCCAAACGTGAGCCTAGAAACTTTATTTTTAGTAAGAATTTTTTAACTTGTTAAATGCATCTAATATTCTGAAGAAAAAAAAAGAACAAGAAATTTGGGAATAAAAGGATAGGTCTATATCACAAACACTACCATTACACATGTTTTCAGTAAAGCCCGCTATTAATCAGTACCAGCATGTTCTTATGTATGTAGCCTTATATTAGGTGCCAAGACAGGTATATATTGTCTCTCCTATCACAGTTTTGAGCACGTCATGGCTTAGTATGGGTCAATAAGAGCACACGGATGCAAAGTAGTTCTCTCCTGGAAAATTCAAAAGCTGCCAGAACTTCCACTTCTGGAGGATTCAGGAGCTGCCAGAACTTCCACTTCTGGAGGATTCAGGAGCTGCCAGAATTTTGTCTGAGCTTGCAGCATACCAGGAATTACGCCATTACTGTGACTAGTAGATATTACCAACTTGCTAATGGATGCCGACTCAAAGTGAATGGAGAACCTTGACTCATTTATTTACCATAAATTGTCTCGCACAGAGTAAAGATAGCCATATCTGATCATGGTTGGCCATCGTATCTAACGGATGGGCCTATTAAAGAAGTTATCTGCTAATACAGCATGCCAGACAGGCAAGCTGCATCTCCTTGGGAAAGACACACACACAAAAAAAAACACCCACTTTACGCCAAGAAACAGAAGAACGATCTATGGATGCTGCCGCTACAGTTATAATACTAAGTGTAAATGTATTAATGGGACTGACATATTAAATACATTGTTTCATATCTAAACACCAAGCTATGCTTGCTTAAACTGTTAAATCTTCAAATGGAAAAGTTGTTATGGTGTTAATTTGTAATTATGGCTTTGAGATTACCAACTAAAATGGAAGTTAGCATGGCTATTCACAGAAAAGTAGTTAGAGTTAGCTGTGGAGCTTTTGTTAGCTTATCTGCACCCATCCATATACAAACTCACGGTGTCAAAATTGTATGAGGCTGCTGTGTGCTTTTCTGTAATGTACTCATTGACTCTAAAACGCAACAACAGTGGAAATGTATCCCTTGAGAAAGCCAGAAACTGAAACGTTGGACAAAAATAAAGTTTTTTCTTCACCCGGAGTTTTTGATCATAATTTGTATTATGATACATAAACTACATTCTACACTCAAACATCTGAGATCAAATGAGATAACTTTTTGTTCTGCATAATCTGGAATGACACCATGTAAATACAAACGGACATTATCACTAGCTACAGAGATCCTGTCTGTTTATTAAATATCACGGCGTAGAACATCATACTATTGGAAGAGTCATTATTGCAGTAGTGATGTAATACTGCATGTGAGAATACTATTTTGAATAGGTACAGTGTCTAGATCATAGGAGCTATGCCCTGGCATGAACATATAAATGACCGAAATCTAGCTTGGCTGCAGCTATTGTATAGATTGTAGGGAAACATGACCACCATACAGTAACAAATGCAGCACAGATGTTTACAACTTATGGTACAGATGATCAGTTAGAGATGTAACAGTGTGTGCTCTATTGTATACACATCCCATGTTAGTGGTATCTGAAGTGTGATGCACTTATCAGATTTAAGATCTCTTGGTTTGAACTTTGCGAGATGTGAGAACTGGATGAATGTGGAGTGTTGTGCATTACAGCTAACGTATAAAAGTAGTTCTGATGGCCATATCTATTTCAGGATATGAAAGGATGGTGTGCAGAAACTGTGATATATATGAAAATCAGAACAAACCTTGTCAAAACGGAATTCATTCCAATTTTTAGGCCTAGATATCACTGGGCTTGTTGCGGAAAATTATAATGGTAATTGATATGTGTGGACCATTATAGGTTTTTTTTCCACGTGGAATTTTTTATTATTCACTCGCAAACACTTTAACTCCTATCATGGCTAATAGGTTGGCTTCAAACATCTGCTGTTTTTCAAGTTGTAATGAGTACTGGGAGTGGTGAAGGTGTGTATTTTACCATATTATCTTTTGGTTAATGGTCGATAAAGCTTTCATGTATAAACTGGTTTAAATTTATAAGCCATTAATGGAGTGATTTGGATGACCACCTGTCATACTTCAGAATGGCTTCATAAGTAACAGAGCAGCAGTCTACCTACAGTTACCCAAACTAATTAATGTTAAAAGGCCTGTAAATGCGATGTGTGATCCCAAATCCAGTATAGATGATCCACGATGTTTTAAGAATATCTGAAGTGACTACAAGCCATCATACGTAATACATGAGAAAGTATGACAAAGCTTCAATGTATGTGAATGAACACTATTTCAAGCTTGCAGACTGGTTTTGGCTGTGATACATGTCATTACCACACCAGCTATTCATATTGAGTACCTCAGTCCACCAACTTATGAGCAAAATCAATCACGCACTGATCTCGGGAATAAGTTCAAGCCACGCATTGTAGATAAACCAATGAACTACAGGCTGGGCAGAATTAAGAAGCCAACAGGGTTGAAGATGAAAAAAAGTGACATATCAGTATTTGATAATTGCTTCAACCTAGTTGACAATGACGATGAGAGCACAAGTACTTCCCTGGTTGGTCTTGACAAGCTTAAAAGAAAAGAATTGATACCAGGGAAAGTATACTGCTAAAAAAACAACTACAGTAAAACTGTCATCCCCCAGAATGCTATTGCAAGAAATAAATAAATAAGATAAATAAAAAATTATGAATTTAAAAACCTACAAATGGAGATCGTAAAAAAATTAAGGAAATAAGGGTAGGAGGTACTGTAGACATTATTTACTCAAATACAAATCTCTATTTTAGCTCCATGCTATTACCTAGAATTACATTTGGTAGAATCAAAATAGGGTTTTGTAGTTTGAGTAAATAGTGTCTACAGTCTCTCCAGCCCTGCTTCTTTACTTTTTTATGATCCCTACTTACAGGTTTTTAAATTCATAATTTTTGTATTTATATTGTTTGCTAGCTTTTCTTTGTTCAACTATGGGAAATGATTACTTGATACGATAGCTAACTTTATACATTGTAATGATAATAAACGCAGCTAGTAGCTAGCTGATACGGTTCATAATGATTTCTGTAGCTATTGACGATTTGATTGCAAAAGTTTAAGATGTAAAATGCTAAGCTGCAGCTGGAGATTGTCATGGAGATTTGTTTCAGAATATAGTGAGCGTTTATAGTTTCTCTGTAACTAAATTCTTTATATATAATGCATAGCAATGGGCAAATATATGCCTAGACTAAGGCACAACCCCACTAAGCGCGTATAAAATTTTACCAGTAGAAAAGCAGACTTTTAAAATAAAGCATATAAATCTAAAACATCGCTTTAAATAAACCTTCGTGTCCTTGAAAGTAATTATTCTACGAATGTGTGTCATAAAATGTAATATTATGTACATTGATTTTTCTTACTCCTTCACTTCCATAATATATGGGTTTGCTCCCTAAAGACACCGATTATATAGTGTACAAAGCATTGAGTATCTACATGTTACAGTAATCTAATGTTCATCTATTATTGACTGGTAATTCCTGTTCACTCTGCACTTAAGCATTTTAAAGGAACAACAAATATCTGTAAGAAAGCTAACTTTAAGGGGGTAATGATAACATTGTTTACACTAGAATTATGATGTTTTTAGCTTACCTAAAATATAGAAGAAACAAATCGACTTTTCAATACCCCTACGACCTTTGCAGTACCATATTTAGTATTCTACAAAAGGGTTGAGTGTAATATACCAAGTCATTTTTGTTGCAGGCTGGCAAGAGAATAATAATAATAAGAAAATAACAAACGGGCTGTTTTGAGCGGATTTTCTTTTCCTTGTAAGTCTAACATGTGTGCTTGTTGCGTGCATTCTATATGTGTTCAGTCTTAGCAGTCAATAGTGAAGGTTTTAAAGTGTTGTTTGAACTGAATCTTTACTGTT